TAAGTAATGCAGTGCAACATGATACTATGATGGCTACAATGTCACTAAGTGATAGGAGTTTTCCGCCTCATTAAAATCTATGTATAGATTTTACATTAACACATGGAGGAGGAAGGAAATAAATTACTTTGGAGAAAGTTTCTATTTTTACTGGAATTAAGTACTCATCTGAACTAGATTAAAATAAAAATGCATATTGTAATTCCTAGAGCAGGGGTGGGAATGTCCATCTGGAGAGCCATTGAAGGCCTGGGAAATCATTGGGTTTGGGCCCGATAAAGCATTAGGGGAAAGTTAATTAAACGTGGGACCAAATATAGCAGGCTGATTTTTAAGTTGATAACTGTGTATGGTCAGCAAACGCTGTTATAGATATCCAAATGGCCCTTGGCAGAGAAAGGTTCCCCACCCTGCTCTAGAGGAAACACTAATTAAATAACAAAAATCGAGTAAAAAAAAAAATCAATGAAAATTAAATGGTATACTGGAAAGTATCTAGAACAAAGAAATTAGTAAAAAGGGAACATAGGAGCAAAAATAAAAGTGACATATAGAAAACAAATTACAAAATGGTAAAGGTAAATTCAAATCAATAATCACATTAAATGTGGATGGTCTAAATACTCTAATCAAAAGGCAAAACTATCTTCATGATTCAATTATGTGCTGTCTAAGAGACTATAGATTGAATGACACAAAACCATTGATAGGAAAAGCTTGAAAGAAGATATGTCATGTAACATTAACTTTAAGACATCTGTAACTATGTAAATATAAAATAGACAATAGGAAAAGAAACAGAGAATTATTTCATAATGGAAAAAGTGTGACTACATAGGGAAGCTATAACAATTATAAATGTATACAGACTTCACAAGACAGCTTCAAAATACCTGAAGAGTTGGAGATGCCAATATTCCAACCTCAATAATTGTAGAGCCGCTAAGGAGAACATCAGTGATGAGACAGAAGGCTTGGATATGAGCATTGACCGATTCTCCCTAATTGATATTATAGGAGTAGGACACTCCTCACCATGACTGTAGGGTGTATGTTATTTTCATGTACACATGGACCATTCTTCAGGATAGACCATCTGCTGGACCATACAACCGTAAGTCCACTGGTAAGTGGATAAACAAAAGGCACATCCATATGATGGGTCTTATTCAACTGAAACAGAACAGACTGCTGATACACGAGAACATGAATAAACCTCAGAAACCGTTTGCCAAATGAAGGGAGCCTGATGCAAAAGACTTCCTAGCAGATGATTTCACTTACACAAAGTATCCAGAAAAAGCAAATTTACAGATTCAGGAAGCAAATAAATAGAGGTTTTCCTCGGGCTAGACGTGGGAGTGTGAAGCAACAGCAGTGAGCACAGAGGAACTCTTCTGGGCGATGTAACTCTCCCAGAACGGGATTATGGCGATTGTTGTATAATTCTATGAGTTTATTAAGAATCATTGATTATACACTTAGAACATGTGAATTCCCAATAAAGCTAAAGAATTACCTAACTATGTGAGATAATAAAGACTACTTTGAAGAAAAGTAAGACAGTAAAAAATTAGTGCAGTTATTAGTGTGGTTTGTCAAATACTTTCAATCTTCTCCTTCGAGGCATGCAAGGCTGGACTTTTTGAACTGGTGTGCAGTTGGGGCAATGAGTTTTGAATGGAGTATGACTTACAGACAAGGATTCCATTGCCAACGTGAGAACCTGCTGGAGTTCAATCTCTCCCTTTGCCATGTGGCCTGGCTACAAGCACCACCCGGGATGATGGCTGTCCCTTTAGCCTGGATCTTTGAGTCATGGGTGGGCAGGTTACCCGCGCCCCGGTTACAGTGTGACACAGACGGGAAGTTAGCGAAAGCCTCAAAGAAGGTGCTATTTGAGTAGAAGTCTGAAGGAGGAGAGTGTGAGCCACGTGGATCTCTGGGGAGAGGGCAGGGCTGGAGAGAGGGCAGAGCACACGGAAGACTGGCACACCTGAGGAACACCGAGGCAGCACCGCCGGTGCTGAGCCAGTGTGCGAGCACACATGGGAGGATGTAATAGGTCAGGGTGGGCTGGCTGGATGGGAGTCCACGGGGATGTGCTGTGCTAGTGACAGGTCTCATCAGATTTAGGCGTTAGGAGCCTTGGTCCAGCTGCAATATTGGGAAGACACGGAAGTGCAAGGGTAGGATCAGCAAAACAATGAAGAGCTGACTTCACACCCAGCTGCCAGTCATTCCTCTACAAGCACCTGGCCTCCTCAGCCCGATGCTTACTCCTTCCAACAGCTTCCATTGCTCGTGAGAAAGCCCAAGTTTCTCAACATGGTACCCCCTACCTTTCCACCTCAGCCCTTTCTACCTTCAGTCTCTCCCGCCCAGGCTGCCATTCTCCTAGGACTGTGGTCAGCAAACTGCGGCTCTGGAGCCACATGCAGCTCTTTGGCCCCTTGAGTGTGGCTCTTCCACAATATGCCACGGCCTGGGCAAGTCTATTCTGAAGAAGTGGCGTTAGAAGAAGTTCAAGTTTAAAAAATGTGGCTCTCAAAAGAAATTTCAGTCGTTGTACTGTTGCTATTTGGCTCCGTGGACTAACAAGTTTGCTGACCAGGGTCCTAGGACATACTCTTGCCTCCCTGCCTGGAGAGGCCACGTGAACGAAGCCACTGAGTTGGGCAGGCAGGAGGGAGGGGTGCGATGGAGGAGGATGCCCTTCCAAGGTGCCCCTTGGTCCTGACGGTCGGCTTGTGGGCCAGGAAATTGGGGACCCGTAGGAATAGCTGGGTTCAGAGCTGCTTTCTTCACTTCGAACTGCGGCAGGTGTGGCAGAGGCCACCATCTTTCCTGCCGCTGAGGCTCAGGTGTGCAGTGGCTGCTCATGCTGGGGTGCCCGGGAGGGTCAGCTGCAGGATACCCCCGCCCCCATCCCTGGGAGAGGCAGGCCGGCGGCAAGCAGAGGTCTGGGAGGCTGCTGAGAGGGCGCAGCCGGCTGGGACAGACAGGGTGTCACAGGAACATGCTAACGTGCTAGAGCCACAGGTGCCCACGGCGGGCGCAAGTCTCAGCACAGGCCCCGAAGGAGACCAGACCTGGCTGGCCTCTGGCTTCGCTGCAGGTGGCTCCTGGTGAGACAATATTGCGGGCGAGGTAAAGGGAAGTATGGCAGCACAGCGGAACCCCGAAGAATCTTCTGTTTTCCCAAACTCCCCGAACATCTCAGTTAAAAACAGGCTCAGGTTCCTCAACAGTCTCCTCCAGGATCTGTGGAGAGGGAAAACAGAGGAGGGGGAGGGAGGCGAAAGGGAGGCAGACAGAAGGAGAGAGAGGGAGAGAGAGGGAGGGAGAAGAGACAGAAGGATGGGAGGAAGCCACTTCCCTGTGTGACTGACCCCTCTCTTCCCAGTGGCGCTGGGGGCCTTTTTGACAAAGCTGCCCGCTGTCTGCGATGCATGTCATGGTGTGGACGAACCTGAAAGCTATTCTCTAAGGCAGTGTTTCCCAAACTTTTGACATATGTGTACCCCTTCTATAATTTTCGTAATGCTGAGTACCCCTCGTACTCATGAGAAGGTAGAATTAGGTGCAGCTAAGCACGGTGCAGTGCATACCCCACCAAACTCCGGTGCAACGCGTACCCCCACCAAACTCTTCCCGTACCCCTGGGGGTACACGTACCGCACTTTGGGAAACACTGCTCTAAGGCAAGGAAGCAGTCACTGAAGGACTCATGCTGAGGGAGTCTGTTCACGTGAACCACACAGCACAGGTAAGTGCAGAGAGAGAGAGAACTGCAGGGGCCACAGCGTAGCGAGGGGGTGTTTCTTTGGGCGATGAGAACACCTGGAGCTGGAGAGGTGGTGGCCCCAGACACTGTGCCAGTACCAATTCCGTGCAATTAACGCGTCACTTAAAAATGGTTACTTTTATGTGAATTTCACTGAAATAAAATCACCCTTAGTGCATGCTTAAAACGTCAGGTATTCATGCAGTATCTCATTTGTCTTTCTTAAATGATCGGCATCTGCACCTGGTGGCTGGAACCTTCCACAAAAGCAAGTGAGTTTCCCCCTCAAATCTGATGATGCTGGGACGCGGAGATCTTACAGACCCACAATGCATTAGGACCGGAGAGAGTTAAAGGCCAGATCAGCTGCTCCCCACCCTTTGCAGGAGGGAGCCCAGAGACCAAACACCTGCAGGGCCGCCGCACAGGGCCAGCCTGGCCCAGCACCCGGCTCGCAAACACAGAGCCCGGATCCTCACCCCACAAACACGGCGCAGACCCCCCAGAGGCCATGCAGGCTGCGCCTCCCTGGGCTGGAGCTGGTGCTTCTTGGCCCGCTGAGCGGTGGCTCCCCTGGGGGTTAAGGAACATGCTGATGCTGGGACCTGCCCTCAATCAATGAGACCGTCTCCAGTATTTGAAATGCCTGGGATTTAACAAAACTCCGTCCTGGCTTAAGGCACAGCGGGTTCAGGACGCTGCCTTCCCTTCCCACAGTATCTGGGATTTCGCAGAACCCTGGCCAAGGCCGTGTGGCCCAGCAGCACCTGCGTGACTCCCAGCTGGCACCCCACCAGAGGGCCGTCCCCCTTTTAAGTTACTCCCCTCTCCCGCCTCCCCCCCCCCCCCCCGGCCCCCTGGCACTATGCTGGGGGCGACAGCAGTCCTCTCAATGTCTGTATAAGCTCCTGGCCCAACTGTTTCCACGCTGGCCCAGCGCAGCCTTAGGCACCGCCTCCTGAAAAGGATGCGTCGTTCGCACCTCGGTCTGCCATCCTCAGAGCCCAGGCTCCGGCGATCCTGGCCACCCGCAGGCTCTGCTGTCCAGCAGACCTGGAACAGTTCCCCAGTTCGGAGTGAGCCCTGCACCCGGCCAGTCCCTGGGCCCTGGCTGCTTCCGCCCTCAAGCTGAGAGGGCCCCTGTAGATGGTGTCAGAGACCCCTCCTGAGACCAAAGGTAACCCCACTCCGCACAGAATAAAACAATTCCTACCAAAATATCTGGCCGCAGATGTTCTCCTTCTGCCGGAGGCCGTGGGTAGCATTGTGGGCGGAGCTGCTGTCTGTACTCAGGAGCCTGGCACGGTTTTAGGAAGCAGCAGCCACACCCCCCGCAGACAGGCAGCTCCGTCTGGCAGCGCAGGAGGCAGCATTTCCAGGAAAGAGGGCTAGAATGCCTGCACGGCCTTGCCTCGGCCTTCCAACAAGAGGCCTCGCGCTGAGGAATCGGCCCCCTCAGTGCCAGTGTCCCCCGGGGTCCTGGGAGGGCCTCGGGCGAGTCATGGGGCCGCTGGTATCAGTTCCTCAAACGGTGAAGGGAACAGCGATGACATGGATCCTAGGAGAGCGGAGGATGGAGATGGTGCGGTAAACGCCTTCCACACGGTCAGACATGTGACCTTTGCCACCCGCTGGCCTGGACTGGGAACGAGCTGTGCTTTCTGGGCTTCAAACCCGGCGCAGACAGCCATCTCCACCCTGCAGCACGGCCAGAGCCACCCCCCGTGGTGCTGCGGGCACAGTCCTTCCCATGGGGCCCCGGGCCCAGCGCGCCGGCACCCAGGCCAGGCTGCACCCTGACCCCTTAGCCGCCGCAGGCCGCTTGTGTTCCATTTCCAGGAATTGGGCATCGTTGATGGCTGTGGAAAATCAGAGAAACCTGGTTAGGAGACGGCCAAGTGAGGGATGTGCAGCTGGTCTCCCTGACGTGCGGGGGGTTGCACATACGGAGCTCAGAGGCCCAGCAGCGGCTGTGGGGGGGATGCCGGGCTGGCCTTCCCTCCGCGGCCTGCCTCCCTGCTCCCTGCCTCTGCTGTGCTGAACTCGCACCGTGTCTGCAGTTCCAGAACCCACTGCTGTTATGCAGATAAAACCAGCACAGCCAAGCTCCTGGCAGTGAGTCCCTTTCCCGTGATGGGGTCCTCTCACCCCTGGCTGCCCAGCAAAGCTCAGGCTCCGGCGCCCCAGGCTGCTGGGCAGGCAGCCTGGGGCAGCGCTGTCTTGCTCTAGGCCTTGGCATTGGGTGGAAAGCCTCTGCAGCTGGGGTCTTCAATTCCCTGGGGTGCTCTCTTCCCTGGGGTGCTCTCTTCCCTGGGGTGCTCTCCTGAGGTCCCCTGTGCCCTGAGGTCCCCTGTGCCCAGAGTCCCCTGTGCCCGGGGTCCTCTGTGCCCGGGTCCTCTGTGCCCGGAGTCCTCTGTGCCCGGGGTCCCCTGTGCCCGGAGTCCCCTGTGCCCCAAGTCCTCTGTGCCCAGAGTCCCCTGTGCTCAGGGTCCTCTGTGCCCGGGGTCCTCTGTGCCCGGAGTCCTCTGTGCCCAGGGTCCCCTGTGCCTGGGAGTCCTCTGTGCCCGGAGTCCCCTGTGCCCGGAGTCCCCTGTGCCCGGAGTCCCCTGTGTCCGGGGTCCCCTGTGCCCGGGGTCCCCTGTGTCCGGAGTCCCCTGTGCCTGGGGTCCCCTGTGCCTGGGGTCCCCTGTGCCCGGGGCCCTCTGTGCCCGGGGTCCCCTGTGTCCGGAGTCCCCTGTATCCAGGGTCCTCCGTGCCCGGAGTCCTCTGTGCCCCGGGTCCTCTGTGCCCGGGGTCCTCTGTGCCCAGGAATGCATAGGCAACCTGGAGCAGAAGCCGTGGGGGAACCTGGCAGCTTGAAAAGAGCAGCAGATCCTAAATCAGAGATGCGGTCAGGCCCCAGGGCCCAAAGCAGTTGGCTTGCCCAGTGGGGGGTGCGAAGTGCAAAGTGAGAAGAAAGATGGTGTCCGAGCCTAAAATTGGAGGTGCCCAGAGTCAGGCCTGAAGACCTTGGGCTGGGCAGGACTTGGGGACTTCTTGGACACACATGACTTTTCTCTGTATTCTCCTTGCAGGCAGGCTGAGGGTGACAGCAGGCAGGGGCGGAGGGTGGCAGCAGGCAGGGGCCGAGAGTCACAGCAGGCAGGGGCGAAGGGTGACAGCAGGCAGGGGCAAAGGGTGGCAGCAGGCAGGGGTGGAGGGTGGCAGCAGGCAGGGGTGGAGAGTGGCAGCAGACAGGCCGAGGGTGACAGCAGGCAGGGGCGGAGGGTGGCAGCAGGCAGGGGCGGAGGGTGGCAGCAGGCAGGGGCGGAGGGTGACAGCAGGCAGGGCAGAGGAGGAGCGGCCAGCTCGGCCTGCAGGAGCTGGGATGCGCTGCGCTGAGCCCAGGTGGTTCCTCTTGTTGGAGTGTGAACCTGGACGAGCATTGGAAACGGGGAGGAGCAGTGCGCACGCCCAATTCCACTGAGTCTCAGTGTGCTCCTGAGTGGCAGGGACACACACTGCTGTGCAGGTGCTCACTGTGGTCTGGCGCCTTCCTGTACCGTCTGGGTCTCCATTTTCATCTTTGGTCCAAAGGGATAACCAGGTAAGAACCTTTTAGTTGCTGGAAACCAAAAGACAATTAAAATGGGCTTAAAACACAATAAGAGGCTTATGGTCCCTTTAGTGGGAAAGTCCACACAATACGGACTCAACACATGGCTGGATTCGGCAGCCTGACAATACCCACTCCTTCCAGCTCTCCTGTTTGCTTCCCGGGTGTCTGCTTCACCCCATCAAGGCTCCCTGATGAGTAAGGAAGGCTGGACCCAGCTCAGGAGCCCCTGCTCCTCCTCCACGTCTCACAGGCTCACACTGGGAAAGGACATTTCCCTGCAGTCTCCCTCAGCATGCTGGGAAGCCTCCTCCCCTTCATGGCCTTGACTGGGCACCCAATCCACCCCTGAGCCAACCCTGAGGCTGGGGAGTGAGAGGTGCCGATTGGCTAATGCAGCTGGATGCGCCGGGCAGGTGGAGTGGGCTGCCACAGCCTCTGTCTGGCTGGTGTGTGGACGAAAAGAGCTACATGCCAACCTGACAAGCTCAGGGGAGGCCTGCGTGGCAGTCTTGCAAACTCAGAGACCTACAATAACCACAAAAGATGGTCTGAAAATTAAATATTTAACTACAAACAGGTTATAGTGGGTAGTCATGTCCTAGGCCGATATTTTCCCTGACAAAGATCAACTTAGATCTTCTTTACAGAGCCCATTTGCCTTTTTGCCTCTAAGATAGCATATCTGAGATGTCTGGGTAACTTGTAACTTCTCTTTTTACCCTGGACCCCTCAGGGCACAAAGACTGGCACCAAGACATTCCCTCATTGTTATTGTTATCAAGTTAATTGTCAACTGTTAATTACTTTAGAGTATCCTGTACCCATCTCTGTAAAAGAAGCTCATGTCCATCATTTCACTTTTCACCCTATCCCAGAGGTTTCCCCCGCTTTGCTCTGTCCCACCTCCCTAATCTATCACCAATGAATTTCATGTAACTCACCTACGTCCCTTTCCTTTGATTGCAATGCATAAATATAGGTGTGATTCTGCATTCTCCGGAACATTATCTCAGTTCGTTGAGGTTCTGCTTCAGGCATATGTCGACAGTTTGGCTCAAACTCACAAAAATTCTTTACAGGTTTCAATGTGTTGTTTTTTCCCCGTTAACACAGGGGAGCTGGAGTAGATGCTAGGACATGATGACTACGGGAGGGGAGAAGGGCTCTGAGAATACAATGCCCACTGCAGGTCCTCTAGGCCAGTGGTCAGCACACTCATTAGTCAACAGAGCTAAATATTAATAGTACAACGAGGAAGCGCCTGGGCCGAACATCACTGGTCAGCACCAGGCTCCCTGGCTCCTAGGTGCCTCTGGGGAGGATGCCGGGTGCCCTTGTCCTTGGCTGCTAAGAGCCTAAAGCATCCTCAGCTCAGGAAATGTTTCCCCTGGAGGCAGACCTCTGCCAGGAAGGGCTGGGGCAGGGAGGCTGAGCCAGGGACGCCTGCCTGGAGTTTGACTTGGTGCAGAGCGCCCCTTGGCGTTCACCAGCCCCGCATCCCCTGGACCATGGCTTCCCACCAGCCCCATCTCTGCATTTTCTCTGCCTCGGGTCTTTAAGCTCCAAGATGCCCCACCCTCACCTGCAGCCTTCCTTCCCCTGCAGCCGCGTGAGGCTGGCAGGGTGTGTGGATTCCTGGGGATTTCTACACGGAGTCTGCTCAGAGCAGCTGGGTTCTGCACCCCGGGCCTAGTTATATGTGTTCAATATGGGGATGAAGTTAGGGCTGGAGAAGTCATCAGAGGGGAGGAACCCTCAGGTTGCAGAGGGGGGATCTGAGCTACTTCTCGAGGCCCAGCATCACCCAAAACTCCCCACTGTGGTTGGGGAAGCTGAGAAAGGTTCAGCCAGCCCGGCCAGGGTGGCTCAGTTGAGTGAGTGTTGTCCCAGGCACCAGGAGGGCACCTGTTCCATTCAAAGTCAGGGCACATGCCTCAGTTGCAGGCTTGAGCCCCCTTCTCTGAGGGCGGGTCAGCCTTCCCCTCACTGGGGCTCATCCTCCCTGACCACGGCACGTGGGTCTCCTCATCCTGCAGGTGGAAATTCTGCATTTTAATTTACATGATAAACTGAAAAGCAAGCCATTATAAGTTGGGATTACCGCCTGACAGTCAAACACCCCAAGTGGTGTTAGTGCCTGAGTTTGCATTTGTGTTTAAAAGCAAATTGGCTGGCTGTGGACGGGTAGACTGGGAATCTGGGTAGGGCTGGGGCTGGGGTGGAGGGTCATTCAGTTCAGCATCCTGGAGGTGACGGTGGCAGAGGCAGGCCCACCATCCATCAAAGCATGGAGGAAACCTCCACCAGCCCTCGGAGGGCCCTGGGAGGGGGCAGCAGGCTGTGGTGGAGAGAGTTGCTGGCACAGGTGAGGGAGCACCCCTCCTGCTGCAGGGCCAGGAGTCAGCTGCTGAGGAGCAAGGCCCCATTCCCATTGGCACCAGGACCGATCGGAATTGGCAGGCCAGGCCAGGCGTCCGCTATGCTCACCAGTGAGGGCGAGCTCCTGGCCCTGCCTGCTGGGAGGCGGTGCGGGCTCAGCTGGAAGAACAGGGCATTGAGGGGCTCATTTTCCACCTGCAGGATGAGGAGGCCCGCATGCCTCCCCCACCACCCCACCCCCAGCGGAGGGAAGTCAGGGAAGACCTTAGCTCAGGGCTGTGCACCGGT